ATGTCAGCCGACTATGATGACTATCCCGAAGAGTAACATGAATATTTAAATTGCGACGAGTATTTTTTCTTATAAGCTGTCAATATCACAGACATGACATAAGTCTTGGCAGAAGCAAAACTATGGCGAAGATATAGACGAACTATGTGAGGGGGTCCTTCCCCCCCATCATTTTGAGTCACCTGGTCGTAGGTAACCTCGATGGTTGAAGGGACAAAGGGAAAAGGAAGGGATGCGTTTCGTCCTGGGCCTGCTAGCGGATTTATCGGTAAGGCTACTCTAGCAGACCCTGCCTTAGACACTGGGATACTATTGAAAGGTCGGGAAGTTATATGTATTGGATCTAGAGGTTTTCCGAGAACTCGCGAGAAAGTCCTCGAAGTCGAAATCCACCTAGCAGTGTGAGAATGATGGTCGCTACATATGCATTTGCTTGCCCTACGACGTCTGAAGGAAGTCTCGCGATAATATCGCATAATCCTGTGCATAATAAACGTTCGCAAGACGTCACTCCGCTATTTGCACGCGTGGAAAGTAAAACGTTAACCAATTGGAAGCGAGGAGGAGAGCAGTGTACGCGGCTGTCGAAAGTTTACGACGTTGTTTCGCAACGAACTGATTATCGTCCATCAAGCAGCCCGGTGTCTCACGGTTAATTCTCGGGCGAACGCTGCGTCGTTTCCACCCCGAGTACACGGAAGCCTCAGTCTTTTCACTTACGAATCGATAGCGGATGCACATCGCGTGCCTGCTTGTTAACCGCGTCGACCGTTTCGCGGCGAGGAAAGCGGGCGCAGTTTCGGCCGGGGCGAGTTAGTTTCGAAGGGTCCCGACGATAGCAACGGTCCTCCGGTAGCGTGCGGTGCCGTACAATGGCTAGAACGACGGAGGATCGTTGCGGCGAGCCGCAGGCGACTGCTGCGACCGGTTTCTCGCGACAAATTCCTCGTGGGCTTCGAGGACGCGCCGATAACTTTCGCCCTCCTTTTCTACCGAGACATCAGACTTTCCTTAGCTTCGCCAGTATTCTAGGATCCAGAATTATT